ATATATATAATAAAATTATTTAGTGTATTAAATAAAATAATATACACTTTATAATATGCACTATAGTTTAATTACAATACGAAAAATGCCTGGGTGTGCAGCCGTTGGATGCACAAATTCAAATAAAAAAGGATTTCTAATGAAACATTTTCCTAAAGATGCTGCCAGAARGAAAATGTGGCTGGTAAAAATGAAGAGGGATAATTGGGTACCAACAAATTACTCATGCTTGTGTGAAATAAGTAGACTACCTAGGTATATTTAAATAACTAATTATAGTTAATTTTAAAAAGTTTAATATAGGTAGKTATACCTATGTATTTATTATTCAATGTGTATTTACCAGAATATATTTTGTGCATAGCAAGTAGGTACCAGGTACCTACCAAATTTTAGCAATTATTTTATATTTCATTTAATCATTTAACTTKCCATGTTTCMAAATATATTTATTTTAACCAAAATAAATAAATAAAATAAATACCTACTAAACTTACAAAAAATTTAGTTACAAAAAAAAAATAGGTAGTTTACATATTAAGTAGGCTGTAARAAATATTGATTGTCTGTTTAACTTAATATTTATTGATGTTTTATTTTGCAGTTACCTATCTCATAAGTAATACATATATTAGGTATGTATAATTTGATAATATAATTTRTATACATTGGTTTGGGTATAAAGTATTATTTTAATTTTCAGATGTCCAATTACTGAATAATGTTATTACAGTGYCTTGAAAGAATCTATCAATCCAGAAGTCTCCAATTATAGTTTTTAATTTTTAGTAAATAAATAACTAATCCTACACATATTTTGAGTGAAATAGATTGGCTATTTTCATCTATTCAACCGGGCTACAGAAAAATAAATTAAGAAATTATTTTAAATCTATATGAAATTTAACAATATATTGTAAAATCAATTACTAATGCAGGGTTGCATGAAACATCACTAAATTTTTAACGAATCAATAGTGAGCTAATGGTTCCTTWAACATGATTTAGTGGCTTATTAWTTGTCCATTAAATGTTATTACTTATTGAACCATTAAATAATTACATTTTTTATGCAACTAGGCATAATTAGTTTATTTGAAATGTGGCATTATAGCAAGATGCCACTGCAGCTACCAATTTTCTAAAAGAAAAAACATTTGTAAAACTCAAATATATATTTCCATGTATACTAATTTGTCTATTTTTTTTATTAAAATGGTAAACAYTTAACACTATCAATAATTATTTTTATTTACCTATTTATTTACCTTACTACAATAATATGTAACATTGCAAGTATA